TATTATCATAGGATATATGTTAGGGCTATATAGGGATAATGGAAAAGAAAAAGCAAACTACTATATTATAATAGGGTATGCATTAAGGTTATATAGGCATAAAGGAAAAGAAAAAGCAAACTACTATATCATAATAGGGTATATATTGGGGCTTCATAAGGATAATGGAAAAGAAAATGGAAACTACTATACTATCATAGGATATATGTTAGGGTTATATAGGGATAATGGAAAACAAAAAGCAAACTACTATATTATAATAGGGTATGCATTAAGATTATATAGGGATAATGGAAAAGGAAATGGACACTTTATAATAGGCTATGAAAAAAGATTACATAGGGGATAATGGAAAAGGAAAAGGAAACTACTATATTATGATGAATACATATTAGGGCTTTATATGGATAATGGAAAAGGAAATGGAAACTACTTTATTATAATGGGGTTTAGGGTTTAGGGTTATCTAGGGATAATGGAAAAGAAAATACTATCTAGCTTTGGGCTTCATGTGCTGCAGCTTACTTGGGGCTAGCCGAGGTTCTGATCTTGGGCTCTGAACTTTTGCATTCAAGGTTTTGGGAGGCAGCGTGTCAGGATTCGGACCCTAAACTCCGAGCCCTGCCCTTTGGTTTAGTTAATGTGAAGTTGGTTAGATGCCCAGCTTTGTGATTTGCGGCTTGCGCTTCGTAAGGATGAACTATGACGGGCCTACCTTCGAGGGATGTCAAACTAAAAAAAGACCTCAGGAAAGCTCAAGCTTGCGGATAAGAACAACTGGAAAGACTGAAGAGGCGTGATAATTGTCGTATATGTATATGGCGCCGAATTTAGGGGCCACATATAGTACCAACAAAAAAGGGCAGGCTTGTATCGCAATAGGCGGGTTTGATGCGAGCTCTGCTCTGAACGTAGGGGTTTCTCCAATGATTCGAAAAATGTATCCTGACTGTAGTGTAGGACCCATCCCGCATACTGATCTTTTATTTTAGTCACCCAAATATGATAAGTATATAAGTAGATGACGAATCTTTAGTGCCATTCCTAATTGTGGTTCTAAGCGGGTGTATCATGGTTATTGGTTATAACTTGGGCTTTCCACCACCCGGCCCTAAACTGGCTTAGAGGGAACCTACCCGGGCAACAAACCGACCCTTGCAGTACCATAGGATCCTATACCAGCCCCCCCACACCTCCCCTGCAGCAAAATAACGTCCACGCAAAATCTTAACGGCCAGTGTGTTTGGGTGGGGGTCAGAATGCAGCATCCTATGACGGTGGTCTGGTAGATGCCACCACAGCAGGCTCAGATAGTCAGTCCTTCTTCAAAGAATAGGCTTCATCGATAAAGAGGACGCCGCCCATAGCCTTCTCCACAGCACCAATCACCTTGCAGGCAGATTTTGTCATCTCAATGCTTCTTCGGATTTGGCAAGTTCCAATGAACTCCTAACATACTAGTGCCTTCAACATGAAGGCACAAGTATAAAAAAAAAAAAAAATAATGTTAATAACAATAACAATAACAATAATAACAATAATAATAATAATTGTGTTGCAACCCTATCTCTGCCGCAACACCGGGACTTGGACTTGGCAGCCTGAACCACGCTCTCACACCCTTTCTGACAAAGAATGCTCAGTGTGAAGACAAAGATGCGAATTCTTGAGCAATTCGGCAACTGATGAGTTCATGGTGTAGTTTGCAGCAGAACAATGGATACAGGAAACCATACATGACCGCACCCTTCTACATCAGAAGTTATGATAAGGCACCCCCACCCTAGACCCTGAACCCTAAACCCGTAACTTTGGTCTTCCATTTTCGTCCTCGCCTTTGGCGCAGTCTGACCCTTATACTCCGCCACAAGGTCTGCCCTGGAGACTTCATGGAAGACGGTCTCGTCGCCCTCCTTCCCAAAACAAGGCTCAGGGTTTGGGATTCTGGTGTTCTAGGGCTTGGGGTTATAGGATGTTTTGTTTTCCTGGTTAGGATGCAGGGTTGTGTTACGTAAGCTGGGACGTAGTTCTTGAACTTGCATTCTGGTGGCTAGAAATGAAGGAATGGCTCAAAGGAGCCTTTATACGGGATTAGATAGCTACTTTAGAAGGACCCCCCACCCTGTAATAGTGGTATAATAGGAATATAATAGGACCCTAATATATTCCTTATTATCCCCTATAGTCACTATTACTGGGCGGAGGGTCCACCTAATAGCTACTACTCGAAGGCTCGAGGGTTCCACCTCTGCGGCGAGACACGACTGAGCCAACTTAGGGCTTCAGGGCTAAAGACCTGAACAAACCTGTTTGCGCACCTCGTACCCTAAGGGTCCAAGTACCCAATAATCATGGTACTTGGATATTGGGTAATGGTGATTATAGTACAGGTTTTGGGTAAATTTATGAATATTGGGTACTTGGACCCTTAGGGGTATTGTACATCGGGGAGGAAATTTGCTCGCGAAGACACAAAAGGGACAAGACCGGGCCTGTAGGGCCTAAGGCTCAGGAGCCTGGCCTTGGCAGGATTCTGCTCACAAAACCATGGGTTCCCCTTTGCCACACGTTACATTACAATAAGCCCTAAGGGTCCAAGTACCCAAAGATTTGGGCTTTAGGTACCGTACAGCCTTATTATTTGGGTACTTAGAACCTCAGGGAAGACGACATCGGCCCGCAACATTATGGTCGGGCTACATTCGGGAACTTGAATTGGCTTACTTACACTTTGGGCTTGGAGCTTGGTGCTGACAGTTTGGGACACCTGGCTATGAGCACTGCTCTTTTACATAGTCTATGCTGCAGGGACGCAATTTTTTGGATGAACTGCTTTGACCTCTGCAAGGCCTTAAGCCCCTCGAAACATGGTGTAGAAAGGCAAGACTGGCTAAAACGCATCTCGTATAGCAGAAGCATCCCCTATAAACAACAGAACGTCATAGCAGAACCGTTGCTGAGTTCTGATCTTCTATTTGGCTCATGTAATGTGCTGCAGCCCCAGCGTATGACCGAGGATGTAATTCTGGAAGAAGCTATAAGCCGGTTCCCTTTCGTTGGGTAGCACGACGGCATGAGCATGGGCTTAGTTTTGCCCAGCCTTCTCGATAACACCCATTTCGACCAGCAGCTCGCCAACGATGCGTGCGACAACAGTCTTCCCGGTGCCTGCAACATGCGCTGTGTTGATCAGCCTACATGTCTTCACATGTCATTTGTTGTGTGTGTGTACGCGGCCACTGCAGAAACTGGGCCTCCTTCTGGATTGAAAGCGCCAAAGACATGTGCAAGACCCAGTGGTAGTTTGCATATTCCTTTCCATTCTCCCTATATAATATAAACTCCTAAATACCGCCCCCAAGCCCGAAACCCTGCAAGCCCCATCATTCCCGATGATCTTCAGAATTGAACACGCAACCCAAGGAAAGCCATCCACCTGTATCTTCGAATCCTACACTCGCTAGGAACAGAAGCCCTCGTTCAGGAAAGGGCCAGTCCACGGTATGGGCTCATAATGTGGGCTTTGGCTAGAGCATGTTTGCAATGAAAAGAACATCCAAATAAGGAAAGGTACAATCCTCTGCAGGAGCTCCTGTAATCGCACGTGGCCCTATAAGCGCGCCCGAAACTCATCACACAAAGCGAAACAATCCTGCACCCCCTGGCAGGACAGGATTCAGCTGAAGCTCTATCCCGCTCCCTTCCTTACTGGTTCTTAGTAAGCAATAAAGGAATACAAGCCCCATATAGCCCCTGTATGTTATGTTCCCTTATTCCCTGCAATCCCTCAGTAAGTCCCTCAGCCTCCAATTTCTCACAAAGACACTAAGCGCGCCTTGGAACCCCTAACCCTAAACCCCTAGACCCCTCAGCACATCTTTAGAAGCCTGCACGTGTTCACAAAGGGTTTAGGGTTTAGGGCAATCTGGAACTAATATACAATGCCTTGCCGTGTACACTGGGCACTCAGCAACATTTCGCGCAGTCTTTCAGGACCTTCTACCGCCCTTGTGCCTGGGTTTCCTAGGAACTGCATGTGGAAGGATTGGCCCATCAAGGACTTGGCATCGGGCAGGAATTTCTTCCGCCTGGGCATCAAGATCATAGCTATGTTATAAAAACTCGGTCCACGTACCAAATTTTCAGATACTTGGGACTAGGGTAAGACTACTTATCCTACAGGTTTTGTGTAAGTATATGATTATTGAATACTTCGACCTTTGGGGTTATACGATTGTGTGCATGCGTTTCGCCGCTGTTATGCAACTGCAAGGACGCCCAGCAAGAACCCCCCCAGTATTTGGACACCTCTCATGTAGGGCTGACGAGGTTAGATGGAGGTGTAGGGTAGCCATAACCAGTTCATAGCTGTACTTCTCTAAGTCCTTTAATATGTTAGGAATTGTGGTCCAAGTACTAGTTATAATTGAGTTCTATCTACCCTACACCCTTAACCCTAATCTGAACGCCAAGTAGGTGGCAATCTAGTGCTGTCAGTCGTGAATGCAATGCTAGTGCTGTGCTGACTCTCCTAGCAATGGCACGGGTAATGAGGGACATGATCTCATGTCAAAACAGCAATGGATCTTGCACGATCTCCGTTCATCACCTTCAAGAACCCAAATGCCAATCCACAGGGTTTAAGGCTGGGGGTTTAGGGTTTAGGGTCATGGAAGTCCAATGGTCGCCAATAGTCAGGGATGGCTGCCAAGTCTACTCGAAGAGCTAGCTATGAATGGGGCTGAGTAAGATAACTATGGCATCTCTGAGTCGAGCAGCCCAAAACGCCTCTCAGACAACGATTGCAATTTCCAGTTCTAAGCCGTGAGGGCCCAAAGACCCAAATATAGGGTTTTAGTGCCCAAATACCCTTGTTGTTATAGTCTTAGGGCCCTAAAACCTTATTGTTTGGGTCCTTGGNNCCTTGGACCCTTAGGGAAAGCAGACCGGACAGGTTGCCACTGGTCAAACTCGACCATGGCTCGTAGCTCAGCCATTCCAGACTTCACCTCGCTACAGCAGTGAGCTGCGCCCGAGAAAGGATGTTTAAGGGTTTAGGGTTTAGGGTTTAGGGTTTAAGGGTTTAGGGTGTAGGGTTTAGGGTTCAGGGTTTTAGATTTAAG